CACAGTTCAGACAGTTTCTAGGCTACAGTGAAAAGAAAAAAAAAAAACACCAACAAACCAATATACCATTGTCTGGAATGCCAGCTTTGAAAAACAAAAGAGAAGAAAATCCTTGCTGTGACTGAAAATGCAGGGGATGGAAACAGACCTGTTGCATTAGGGCAGTCAAATTTCCTGGCAAAAAGAAGTCAGACCACAGGTATCATCTGTACTGGAACTATAAAGAGCACCAAATGAGAACGCGCTGGCTAAGATACCTGCAGAGTGAAATGTCTTCAGTGTTTGCAAGCTGTCTAACAAGAGGTGAATGAAACAGGAGTTTGACGCTGGAAGCCTTGTCTCTTTTCTTTTCTGGAACTGCTTCTCTTTTTCTGCTGGCCTATGTTGGCTAAGCAAAAGGTCTGAGAAGGCTGGCTACAAGTCCTAGGTCTCTGGGGAAGGCTTCTGAGTGTACTATTTCTGCTTAATTTGGGCTGCTCAAGCAGGTCCTGATACTAAAAACATGTGGACATAACTGAGACCTTTTCGCTTAGTGCATTTAATATTACACCAGTGGCCTGTATAAGGATTTCAGGACGTCACATGCCTACGCCGCTCAGAGTTTGGCTATTTCAGTGACTTTACTGATCGGGCTGCATTTGGGAGTATTATCTCGCATTTTTAAAAAAAAAAGTGACTGTAAAAATAATACAGTTGCTGACTGGTGTCATGGCTTTGATCTGAAAACCGTAGTCAGGCCCTGTGGTATATGACTTCTCTTTATAAGAAAGCAGGAGCAAGCCAGACTGCAATGCAGGTCTTCAAATATGCAGGATTAAACATTTTTGCAGGTTTATTGTGGGACCTGTAGGTGGCCTCATTTTAATAGTCAATAAACCAAGAACTATTAGTTCAGTTTTCCAATGAGCTAAGCAATGTTTTGTCTTATTCTACTGAATTTGGAAGCTGATGAAGTTGCTTTTAGTGCCACTAAATCCTCTGCAGTGCCACTAAATCCTGTGCTTTTTGTTCTGTAAACAAGTGGGTATAGAGCACACTGATTTTAGTTTTGAAAGCGTGACCATCTGTTTTGTTTTCATCCTTAAATTCCTTCAAGGATGGGAAGAGAGAGGGCACGATTTTGAAACTCTGAGTTAGAGCCAGTAAAGTAGCCTGTATCATGCATTTCACATCCCCTCCGAGACCATGGGTGAAGGAGCAGAGGACTGCTGGCCATGCACTGACACTAACCACATTTTGTAACACACTGAACAGTAAGAACAATTAATATACATCATATATTCTGGCAGAGAAGGCCTAACCTCAAAGTTTACCAAATTCAGTTGGGTAAATGGACTGAAAAACAAGGCCAAGTGAATTAAGACTGAGACCTTTCAGTCCAATCAGTAGAGTATCAACATTGACACCCACACTTGACATCACATTTGTGATAATGCGTTCTTCAGTGTCACCCCAATAGAAACGCTGACTTACAATGTTGTCTCATTTAACCGCGTCATTTTGGGAGTGCAGAAGAAGAGGAAATAAAATGGAGCTTCGCTAGTGCTACAGAACGTTCCACCTTTGTCAGCTGCTGAGAGGACAACAAGGTCTCCCATCGCACACCAGTACATAGGGCATGTCTGATCCCGTGGGTCATTGTTACCACTATCTTGTGCTGGGCCACTGGAGGCAGGTTGTGCGCTCCAATTTTATCTTGCCTTTTATCCTGAGAGATGACAGAGCCTTCAGACACCACATACCTGCAAGTACAAACAAGAGGCCAAGGCATTACTTCACAACAAGCCCCCTCTCCCTTCTTGGAGTAATGTCTTTGCTACATAAATCCACATGTCAGCCTACCACCATCCACACGGGGAATACACACTATAGCCACTGTGGTAAGGTCCCAGTTTTGACCAGTTCACATACAGACACTGTATTTTTTTAGCGTATGAATGCTGAAATGGGTTGTGAAAAAGGCTTATGGTTAAGTTGCCTTCAATATGTGGAAGCCAGATAGCTACAATGATAAGAGAATCACAAAGTGGTTATTTAACTGGCCTTATGTCACTGATCCTGCTGTCACTGCTTCTCTCACGCTGTGGCCAGGGCACCCTGAGCAACAGAAGGAGCAGCAGAGAGAGCGTCTCTTACTAGAAATTCCCCTGGTTTTGAAGCGGTGAGGTGTACACATCTTAGGCACAACTGCATGCCGTGCACTGCAAAACACAGCCTGCCTTGAGCTGAGACTAGAGTGCAGAGCTGTCCCTCGTGTCAGCAGCAGCAAGAGGACCACACACCTCCAAAGACCCGGCCAGGTTATGCAGGGAGTGCAGGGCAAAGCCACCGTGATGCATCCAGCTGCATCTCATTTTAGGGGGTACCAGTTAGTCCCTCATTTCAGAAATATCTAACTACTACAGTTCTGAGAGGAAACTACAGTGAATAGGTGGGAGGCAGAGGGCTACAAGGGATTAATTTTGGACTAATAGGGATTATATTAAACTTGTAAAACAAGTCTTCAGTATGTCATCTGTCCTGGGACACTCTTCAATGTTTGAGAACAATTAGCAAGTGAACTAATTTTGATATAACTCTCTAGTTCCCATGAACACAGACATGGAAGCTGGTTTGAAAACAGCCTGCAACTTCTTCCCCTCCCTCGCACCTATCTTTTAAAACCCACTGCAGAGCTCATCTACTGAGCGGCATTAACCAGCTGCCCACGGGGCATTCCAAACCTGCATCCTTGGAGATGAAACTTCGACAGAAACCAACTTTCCAGCCAAATTCCCCTGCTGCAGACTGAGCCCGGGCACTGCAGGGCTCCTACAGCATGCCTGCAACTCACTGGATCCCACATCGCATCTTTTGGAAGCAGCCAAAATTTCTGCTAAGGTACAAGTTGAGCCCTTCTCTAAACATTTCCCCTCTCTATTAGGCCTGGGTGGTTGCGATATTCTTCCGAAAGCAGATAAGTGCAAGGGCATCTGGTACCCTGCAGTGCTGTGCCCTTGCCAGAAACCTGCTGGAGATAAAGTGCTGGATATATAATACTCACAGTAAGTTAAGGGAAAGTGAAGTAAAAGCGGTTCCCTAAGACATGCTACAGTTAGGGTGGCGAAAACCTGCCATAAAACCAGATAAATAAGGAAGGAGAACAGAATTATTTATAAAGATATTTATTTTCTATTTGTGTACAACAAATATACGAAAACAAATTTAATTTGAAAAATGTATATTCGATTTCTTAAAAGTATTGAACTCTCTTAAGGAAAGATTTTAGTTATTAAAAAGGTACCGAAGGCTAAAATTATACTTGGATAATATAATGTGTGTGTACATATATATATATAAAAAACATGTGCAATTTTATATATATATAGTATATATAAATAACATGTGTGACTTACATGATATTTTAAGGTATGCTATTTAAACATCTGAGTAACAATAGAGATATTATAAAATATAGTTTGCTATTTCTACAGAGTTTGCATTCAGCTTTTATAAGCATCTAGACAGTGCAAAATTTAAACATACAGAAATATTATCCTATTACTCTATACATTGTGTTCAGCTCCCAAGTTACCTCTGTCACGATCATAACCAGACTGAACCAAATTTGGAGGGTTCAATACTAGCCCTTACCAGCATCTTCTAACAGCAATAAAAGGAAATCTGTCTTACCTTGCACTGCGCTGCGGTATAGTTTGCACACAAGAGAGAACAATGCATTTCCTATGTTAAATGGTCTAACTCCCAGAGATCACATACACCTCACCATATTGACTCATTTCATTGCACTCCATATCCTGCAAAAATAAATCTCCTGTAGGACAGCATACATTACTGCGTACTGAAGTTTAAGTAATATATTTCTTTAACATAAGGCAGGAGTATACTGAAATTTGATAACACTTAAATCCAACAGCAATCTGGAATTAAACCACGTTTATGTACCACATTTTTATAGATGCTGCCCTTTTTATGTTTATGTCAGAGAATGTGGTAGAGAAAACCTACTTTTCTTTAAATAAAAGCAACGGATAAAAGCAGTCCTTCTAAAAGAAACTGCTAAAAGCCAGTGGGACCAGGAGAAACTCGACCGCCTTGAAACACCAAAGGTCAGTATGCACAACCTTTCCTGCAGCCGAGGAGCAATTCCTTGCATGACATCTGGGGGAATACTCATGTGAGTAAGTGCTCGCTACAGCAGAGCCCGAGTGTTTTAGCTCTAAATATTTATCATCCTTATTTGCATCTATTCGACATTAAGGTATTGTATGTTTTTCTTATGTTTTTCTTATGTTGCTAAAAAAAGGCAATTCTGACCATTCCGTCTGCTTTCACAGTAGCTATATTTTAACTGAAAGATGTTTGTACTTTAGATGATATGTTTATTATCACTGACATAAAAACCTCAATCCTGCTTCCATAAAAATCAGGGGTTGCTTTGCTCCTACCAGAAATAAAATTGGATCCAAATATGTTAGTCACAAAGTTTGCTAATAGAAGTAAATACTATATCCATTAAGTCTCTCAATGCTTAAAGGCAAAGTGATGTTAGCAAATATTGTATAGTCTAGCTTAAAGAACAGTATTATGCACAATTCTAGGCAAACTTATTCAACAAAATCTAAAAGCAGCTGTGAAAAACATCTTATGGGACAGCAAGTTTTGCTACATGAAAATTTCTGGAGCTCTGACAAGCTTTTTTCGAGTTCATTTCTTAAACCAACTCCCTCACTCATGTCCCACACCGCAATTGCACAAATTAAAGGCTGTGGTCTTGTAGGCAGTACGCATCCAGACCAGCTAATCTTTAAAATTGGATACTTCAGGAGGGTCTCCCTCTTTCTGCCGCATTCAGTCCTAAACTCCCTTTTAGAAGAAACTGTTGTGTTCCTGAATCCTTGTAGCAACGGACAAGATAAAGAGCCTAGTGTCATCCCTCATCTACTTCACTTCTCAAGTTTATCTCTGCACTTGTCCATATAATTACCCCCTGGAGATTTCAACTTTAATTTAGATTTGAGTTACAGTTGCTGAACAGGCCTCACTAAAAGACAAAGCCTCATTAGTAGCCTGTAGAAGTGAGCCTTAACAGTTAAAACCTTGATTTAAATACCAAACAAAGGGGAAAAATAGATGCTGAGACAATGTTTACATCCTTTCAACCACACCCTTGAAATTTTGGCAGTAAATTAGCCAAAGGATGGGCTTTACATCTCATCCATCTCTCTCAGTTGGGAAGGAACAGCCATAAGTACAAGTTTTTGCAGGGTGCAGCGATGCTGGGAGATGGCTGAATACATATGACCGAAGGCTGCATGCCTCGCAAGTCAGAACAAAGCAGAGATGTGCTGGGAATTCAGGATTCTCTTATGCCTAGAAGTTTCCTATAGACTGGAGATAAACAGAAGTCCCATCTCCCACACAAAAAGGAATAGTGTTCAAACCTAGAGTAACACAGCACCAAGAAGAAACTAATAACTACTAGTGCCAAAGCCTCTCAATTTAAGGTTTCCCCAAAGCAATCTCAAAGAAAAGAAAGGAAAAGAAAACCTGTGGAGTCAGTCAACACACTTTTCAATCCAATTATATAGCAAACGCACTGGCAGGCAAGGCCTCAGTTCTCAAAAGGTGAGGAAGAAGAAGGATGGGGCAAAATGCTTTCATACATTTAAACATTCTTAGGTTATAAGAGAGCAGGCAACTTAGAAAACATTCCTTGTAAGCTGTGTGGGATCAGCACAGTTTTCCGCAGGTTTTGCTTTGTCCTACAGCTCAGCTTTGCCTGTTTGGGCAGGACTGGCGTTACCGCTGCCTTCTCCGGCATTGTTCTTGTCTGCTGGCTTGAAAGATAACGAAGCAGAGTTTGTGCAGTACCGCTTGCCAGTTGGACGAGGTCCATCGTCAAAAATATGCCCCAGGTGAGCACCACACTGAAACAACATACAATAGAGTATCACTGTGTTTCTGTACGGCTTGATGGCATCACCGTTGTGTTACGCAATGACTAGCAGCCTCTTCCAAGGAAGCACACTGGTGCCTACATCGCCCTTTCAAGTGGAATTTACAACCTACATTTATTTGCAAGAGTGATCCAGGAAGATGATCTTCTGAGATACCACGGGCGCCTAAGACTTCAAGCCCGAATTTCCTGGGTGTTTCCCATCGTGCCACTGCATATGTTTGGTTGGGCCACTATTTCTGAGAGGCTGCCTGTTTGTGTAACGATGTCATGGCAGGAGCTCAGCTGAAAACACGGTGGTGAGGGCAGTACTGCCCATGTTTCACTTACTGCTGTAACAATAGCTGTGTAAGAAAGGGGCAGCCTAAGCTCTGGGCTCTCCTCAGCCTGCAGCCATCTGCTATGTCCCTTGGTAAGAACACTGTAAACCCCTTAGTGATCCTGGCAAGGACCTAAAGCAGTGAAGATATTGTTTGGAGTACACCCTCATACTCTTTTTTTTTTTTTTTTCTTTCCACAGCCTGGCACTTTTCTGAGCATCAGCATCCTTCTGGGTGCACCTCTGCTCCTCGCCCGTGGAGGGAATGGAACTCATCCACTACTCATCTCATACTACCTTCTCGAGTATATAGGAGATAGGGACAAGCGACTGAAAAAGACCTGTAGTGAAGATATGTAAAATATTTCTGAATGAATAATCTCTGGCTGGGAGCAATTTATAAATAGGAATTATGATGAATTTGCTTTTTGTAAGGAATATGAAAATACAGATGGTCTGTAGACACTTTTGTTGTGTATGAATCAGCCTCAGATACGCGCAGTGGTGTTTGGGGTGAACACTACTGGTCCTGTCTGTAAGAAAGGTAACAGTCCTTTGCTTTACAGAAGAGTACAATATTTTGAAGAAGCTGATCCAGTTCATCCTTATTCAAAAATTAGGATTACTATCACTGCACACACCTGGATAATAAGAACTTTTTGTAATTAGTCACCTAAATTCCACAAGTTTTTTTTTTACAGCCTGCCATAAGAAATAAAAAAAATAAAACCTTGCACTGGAGAAATATTTATCTTGAACAGGAAAGTCATGCTGCTTTACCAAAGAGCCTTGGCTTTCAAGTCAATAGCTGATCTCAGTGAGAGCCGGAATGATGTAACTGAGATCACAGAGCTGCTAGTGGGCTCGCAGTCAGACAGCAAAAATTAAGCACTGCAAATTATTCTTAACATTTAATTAATTCATAAAATCCCAAATACATAGAGGCAATACTGATTATTCTAAACTGTGAATGAGTTAGTCACGGTATCTCTCTACCCTGCAGTTAATGTGCTGCTAATGTTCTGCTGTTACCCCTTTAATTCACCAAAGCAGTAAGAAGGGTGTCTGTAGAAGCAGGTAAAGTCTTGGCTTCAGGTTAAACTCTCTCAACAGACTGAGAGGCTGGGGGAGGCTCTCATGCCAGCTAGGAGGGACAGAAACTCTTCTTGTTTAATGGCGGCTGAAACAGTAATCGCCACCAACTCTGGGAGTGGGGCAGGTAGGCACGTAAAGCCTCAGTGCTCCCGCCTGTTGGTCCCACTCATGCAGCCACATCCCAGGGCAGGCTCCCTGCTCCTGGAGAAGTGCTGCTGAAACAGCCATGGCAGCCGAGCAAGGACCCCAGTAACAAATGAGGGTGCTTCCAGCCTGCGGTATCAGCAGGACGAGTCCCAAGAGGCAAGGGGAAAAGGCATGAATGACTTTGGGTTAAGCAGCAGCTGCTCGGCTTTGTAAGGAAGGAAGACAAAACATGGCAAATGGGAAAAGGCAAAGGGAAGTTGCATGGGAACCAGAAAAGACAAAACTTCAAGTCTTGTTCCTGAAAGATTGCTACCTTGCCACCCTTTCCTCCGTTCTCCACAGTTCATTCTATTTCATTTTCCTTTAGACTGAAGGCCTATTTTTGGTAGTTTGGGCAGAAAACCTGAAATGTTTCCTAGAATGGGGTCTCTCACAATGAGGCATTTCACCTGATTATAAAGTTTTTCCATATCTTGGGGGAAAAAAATCTAAAAAAACTTAGCGTCCCAGAGAGAATATTTTTCTAAATGGTCAGCATCCTAATTAAATCATCTCATCTCAACTAAGAATGTTTCAAAACCTCCTGGCTAGAAGTGTTAAACAGATCTTTTCCGGATTAACATTTAGCCAAAGATAAATCATTCCCTCTCCACTGGACAAAAACAGAACAAGAGAAACCGTAGAGAGAAACGGTCTGCAGGAGTAATATACTCACAAACACACAGACTATGAGGACAATCTATCAAAAAGGTTTTCCTCACAAAACCTGAGAAGCTATGTGAGAGTCCAAGGTAGTCTCATTACACCTTCTTGTGATGGCAGAATCACACCAGGATTGGATTACTGCAAAATTTGTTACCTTTTGAGATTACCCTCACCCAAAATTTATGTGGCGATTCTCTCTGTAGAGGACTCTATAACTCATCTGCCCTGAAAAGAAATGTAATTCAATCCTTTGTATCACAGCACAAGAAATGTGGCCCTCAGCTGAGAGTACAAAGGATGAATTGATTTTACTGTCCTCCCCACACGTAATAGGTGCCGATCGTTTTTCTAGGGTGTATGTACACGTCTGCAAAGCCGCCCAAAGAGAAACAATCATCTGTTGCAGCCTTGCACATAAATATATTGGGCAGAATGCACTGGGACAGTGAAACGGTTAGAGTAAAGCATGTGAAGTATGTGTTTGGGAGCAGGAAAGGAGGTGTCACTGCTAACTGTCAGTATGCTTGGATCTCCCAAGCCTCCTGCTTCTAATATGCTGCTGGGAGCCACGGAGAGCAGCTTGCAGTCAGCTGCTGTAGCAGAGTATGAGCTATCAGTGTGCAAACAGCACTTCTGTGACTACAGAATTTTACTGATCTAGCTACAGATAATAGCTAGGGTGACCTCACAGAAGGGGCTCTCGAGCGGGAAAAGGAAAAAACAAGAGATGCAACCAGTCGCAATCAACTTCTATCTGTCACTAATCATTGACTTTTTAAATACATCCAGGATGATGTGTTTCCAAAAAACTGTAAAAGTTATTTCTAGGATAATCCCACGGATGTCTTTGATTAATATTACAGCAATTTTCCCCCCATGTTTGCTTTCTATAATGGAGAACATTAGAAGTATTTTTTTACTCTCTCAGACAGGTGGAAGGAGTTTTAAAGAAATATCAACTACTTTTTCATCTGCAAAAGATTAATAAGGTTTTGGGTGTGGGAGAGGGTATTTCCCTCCAGTTCTACCAAGGCCTGCCATATCAATCCCACTGCTTTCCAGGCTGCAGTAAAACTGCATTTTTTTTGCAGCTGCATGTGCGATTCACATTCCTAGGGCTCCGAGGAGGGGAGGAAATGGTTTTGTTATGGATACACAATGTGGCGGTATTAACCGTGCTAAGTGGTGGCTGCAAAGATGCTCACGACTCCTCAAGCTATTTTCCTGCGTGACTTGATCATCAGTGAGGTTACTGCCCCAGGAAGTTGGAGTAGCTGGTAGGAAGTTGTCGTTGGATTATATAGCAACCTTGGTCGTATTTTCTTCTTAATGCTTTAAATTCAGGTTTTGATTTTGCTTTAATTTTATGGTGTCTGCATGTGACTGCTGCTAATACCGCTGGTCTCAGGTCTGCTAATGCTATTTTGTTTGGCAACAGGTAAACGACATTCCCAGATTCCTTGGCGTGACCGCAGGCTGCCTTGGGCTTCTCTCAGGTGAAACCAGGAACCCTGGCCATCTCTTGAAGGTTGTCAGCAGGTTGGCAGTACACTGATTTTAGCACTACTCTGGCCTACTAAGCAGAGCTGAAGACTGTGGGTTGCATTTTTGATTATGCCAGTAATCACTGATGAAACACAAGATTCCCAGTCTGCAGTCCCATTGCTACCTCACTAGGGAATTTAGGGAAAAGGATGTTCCCAAAAAGTGTTAAGTGGATCTTTAAAGTGTATCATCAACGTAAAAGCTACAGAATTATGCAGTACACATGATATACTAGCAGACACAGTGATATGGCCATTAACATGTTGGGCCAAACCCTCTACCCAGACTGAAGTTAATAGATTCTCCATAAAGAGTCTTGCCTCTTTTCGAGAAGCTTCTTAACTCTGAGCATTTAGATATGAGGACTGACTGACTAGTAAGGATGCACATTGTCAGGGATGAAATCAGTTATCCATTCACCAATACCGTCTGGAGAAAGAACAGCAAATTCTCACAGCCCAAGTGAAGCTGCTGCTTCTTTCAGGAGGAGCTTTCAGCATGCGGAGCTAGCGGGCTGCAAGCTGCTGGGTACGTCTGCCAAACACCAATGCAGCAGCTTCTCCCCTTCCTAGATAATGATTAAGCCATTCCCTTCACAGAGAGCAGGGCGGCACAAAGGATGAAAGTAGAACAAGACGGATAACGGAAAATTTGGGCATGTTTTGAATGATTACTGACTTCATTATCATGGCAGATGAGATTGTTTGAGGCAGCCATTAGGACTGCGCTGGGAACCAGTGTTGGGAATGAGCTAGCATGGCTGCACAGTAATGCACAGTGATGGAATCAGCACACAGACAGTCGATCCACTGCTTTCGACTTCCCTCTCAACCGCTCACGTGGGGAGTCAGGCAGCCAGGCTCAGGCTCAGAAGCTCCTTTGAAGCGACCCTCTTTAGGAAGACAACTTTTGTAGACTCAGCACCAAGTCCAACCATTTACATCTGCTCTGTTAAATCTCACACCAGACAACAATGTGTGTTCCAACGAGCCCTTTGTGCCTCCAGCTCATTCCACCCAGCTGTTATACCTACAACACATTGTGCTGTCTCACAATGATTATTATTTAATGGAACTGAAAGGTTTGCAAATCTTAGAGAAAGTACAGCATACTGTAATGATTTTTGCAGCCTTTGCCATCGGAGTGGTCTGTGTGCGCTATAAACTAACCTGACTGCAGGATATTTCAATCCGATGCATCCCATAGGAGAAATCATCATTGAAAGTAATCACATCAGGACTGATCACGTCATAGAAGGAAGGCCAACCTAGAAAAGAGGAATAAGGTAAGTAAGAAAAGAGGGCATTTTGGTTGCAGATGGCATTGTAGAAAGAAAGAGAGAATCACACTTTGAAAAATGTTTCTCTCGCTCCAGAGCCTGGAAATAACTGAAATGGAGATTTTGGATCCTAAATCACTTAGGTGCTTTGGAAAATTTTCCCCCTAAATACAAAGCTGTTTACAGGCAAGGACTAAGCTGCGACTAGCTGCCCATCTTCCATCTCAACAGAGATTTCTGCACTGCACCGCAAGCAGCAGTAGCAGTTTAGCTCAGGCACGAAGGTGGCTGCTCAGGTAAGGCAGATTCAGTTTAAAAAACTACAAATTCCACCCTCAAGACAAACAGCGAGACTTTATGCAACACAAGCGTTTTTGCTTTCGCAGTGTAAATGTACTTTAAAAAAGAGTTGGCAAGTTGCAAGCTAGAGCCCCAAAACCTGCCTTAACCTTTGCCTTCACCAAAGCATGGTCACAGCCAGGAGGATGTGCTCGGACCCTGAGCCATGGCACATTAGAGGCTGTAAGATGATTACTATTGTGCCTAATTTCAAAACGGTAGTGCTTCAGATCAGCCATGGGCAGGTGGAGTCAGAACTATGCCTATATCAGACACTAGTAAATGGTCTGCATGTGGTCTGCATCCAGGACAAAACAATTGCCCTCGCTAACACATATGTTCAACACACCTGCTGGCTGAGCACTGAGCAGCATGACCTGACACCAGATGATGATGATGTGTACACGTTATCTACTAGTAATAGCCACTTATCATCTAAATGATGACCTTCCACTCTTCAACTATTCCATGCCAAGCCTCCCCCTCTCCACAGCAACAGGTAAAAAACAGCGCAGGTCTATTCAATGTCCCAGTAGATACCCATTACATAGCTGCAACTTTTCAGCGACTCCTCAAAAACCTGTCAGCATATGCTCCATTTCCTGAAGCTGGGTTCCCACATAAGAACCTGACAGGCTTTAAGGCCATGTCAGTATCTACCAGTGCACACCTGAAACCCCGCTACCTGTCCCTCTCCTTCACTCTCTTGCCAAACGCCGCAGCATGCACAGGCAACTCTTGCTCTCTGTGTATTACACAGTATACAGCCCACGTATACAGAACTTCCTTGTTTCTTCTAGTATCTGTCAAGCATTTGCTACTGATGATTTCATAAAATGACTTGTGATAAGCTATTAAAGAAACACAGCAGCAGCCATGAATCACTGCATGCAGATGAATAAAGAATGTATACGGCTTCCCATAAGTAAAGTGAGTAAAATTTCCTATACAGTAAAAGGTGGTGTGGAAGCTATCAAGTTTTCTGAATGTGGGTAAGGAGAGCGTGTAAACCGGAAAAAAATCCGTGTATTTTCAGTTGTATCTTAAACCATTAAATATGGAAGAACACTTACTAGGATTCAAGTATAACAGGCATAATTTTTTAAGAAAGAAATGCTCAGAAATGCATTTCTCTTCCTTTTGGGAACACCCATATAGTAGCATTCCTAAGCCTGCTACCTTAAGGCATTGCACGCACCAAGTCCTATGCTCCCATCTCAAGTGGGAGTAGGTAGTTCCACCCCAGAACTCACTGCAGAAGTAGACTCATTTTTTTCCCCAAAAGTATTGCAAATGGAAGAGTTACAGACAGTTGACAGATCAAGGAGCAAGAGCTCGAACAGAGAAAATATCCCACAAAACAGGAACTCAAAACAGTGCAGCAATGACAATCATAAAAAACTGATTTATAAATTCTTCCCCTCGTGCAAAACGTATCTGCCAAACAAATACCTTCACAAACAGAAAAGGAATAAACATATGACAATTTTTGCAAAAAGGGTTAGCCTGTTGACAGAAAAATTGATGTCTCCTAATTGGTGGCTCCTTTCCAACACCATTCGTCATCTTCTTAGCAGGGCCTCCGTCTAATGGAAACTGAGGCCTTACATAGAGCTGGTCAGAATATTTTTAATGAAGCCTTTTTATTTTTTTTTGTTTAATAATTTTGCAAAACGGACATATCAGTTTGCCCCTATATGATGGCAGAGAAGTTCCAAAGAGGGAGCTGTTCAGAGCAACCAACTATCTGATTGTGTGAAAGCCTTTGGAGGAGGAACACTTCAGGGCTGAAATTCTCAAAGACAACCCTGCCTCCTCCACAATGGCAATAAGGGGGAAGCTTCAAAGGCTGCTACTCAGAGATTGAAGCAATCTGTGTCTTGCTGAGAAAATTATCTTGTGAGAAGGGTTTGGAGGAGACGTGTTTATGTCAGCTTTGACATTAAAGAAAGACTATCCATCTTCCTTTCTCCAGACTTTTCCTTTTGGGCTTCCCATTCACCACAGAAAAATTATTTGCTTTGGATGCACTCCATGCACTTTTAAAACATTAAGTCATCTGAAACCTATATAAACAGGCAAGCTCCTCCTAAAGTAGCCTTTGTACCCAACTGGAGTGACTTCAGCTTAGGCTGTCAGTTCATGCTACATGTGACACATGCGCCAAAGGCTCCACCACTGCCACATATGGTCCCCAAGACAGGGACTAAGAAACAGACTATGCCTCCACAGTGTGGACTTTTAACTCTCAGTCACGCCACCTCTTGAGCGACATGGCAGGCCAGGCACCAGCATTGCTGTGAGAACCCAGTAAATCCATGAGGGCTGACTGAAAACGGAGCAAACTCTGCCACAGAAAAGGTCCTGAAGGGCACAGCGAGACATACTGTCACTCTGTTGACCTTGAGTGGAAGACAAGTGAACTGCTCATTGAGTTGATGAGCCAAACTCACCAGGAAAATCAATCCCCCTCTGCTGTCTCATTTCCTCTCTCCTGAGCTAAAGTGGAAAACCCATTTGATAGTTTGCTAAGCCTTCTCTGGCCATTTTCTCTGCTTCAAAAGTTGCCAGGAACAAGCTGTAGAAGCAGTCTGCTTGCCTGCACATCAGGCAACTCCCAGTGACGCAGAAAGTCAGCCGGAGCTCTGTGGACTCTTCATCTGACCTTTCTGTCTTTGTGAGTGATGAATTACCCAGCACTGGCCTTCATTTTGCAAGGTCCAGGCTACTTCTGCGGTCCAGCAGTGGCTGCTGCTCCTCCACTCCTGTCCTCCTGAGCACCTGTCTCCTTCCTGCTGTAAGGCTGCAAAATTACTAACTCACTCTACCTCTTAGACTGCTGTTGGCTGTGCATTAAAGCTTCAGCCTGCCTTTGAAGGCTATCTGGCTACTTGGAAAAGGCATGCTTCTGCAGGAATGAGGGGGAAGAAGCCAATTTTGGATTTCTTCTGCTTCTGTTGACCTGAGAGAAACAGTAACCCTTAGCACTGCAGAGACGGAGCACGGGAGGAGACCCTTTGCAAATGCCGGTGCCAAGACTCAGCTCTGCCCGGGTGATGGCTTTCTGTCAGGTCCAGCTCACCACATCTGATGGGCAGCAGGAGCGGGGCCGCTGTCTTTTGAAGGATGGTAAAACATAACAGCTAGGAAAAAATAGCTGCTGGAGGAAAGGAGCAAAGGGTAATTGCAGTAGACAAGATGGGGGTGGGGAGAATCTCCCAGCTGAGTGAACAACTTCAAATGACATTTGCACATTTTTTTGAACAGCAGCTAAGATTTGTGAATACGTTTATCCTCGAATGTAAAGTTTAGTTTGCAGGAAGAGTATGACACAGTAATAGTCAGCAACTTTTACCGTGTTATAGACAATTAAAATGGGCTAATTCTTATTTTCACAATCACTTTGTATCACACCGGCAATATAAAAAGGCTTTTTTTATTTTAGTCTGTTGTGTTTGTGCTCACTCTGATGACCCTTTACATGGAAGTGAGGCTGTTATACCCTAAGGGCCAGTTTCTGGCACGTTAATAAGCCAGCCATGAAGATGAACAGTTTTCAGATACATAGCAAGTATCCTTTCTTGGATCTAAAATACACTAAATTAAGCAATGAAACTTTCTTCTGTCAAGTACCTGAGCGAAAACCATGTGTAAACTGAACATTACTCACAGATCTTTTCCGCTCCATCCTGCATGAGTAACAGAAAGGATCTTATGCTGCTGGGTGTCACACATACTGAGTCATGACCCATTCTTCCTTATTCTGGGACATCCCCCAAATATTTTGTAAAAGTTGCACAGCATTTCTAAAATTCAACCCATACCCCATCACCAAAACCAAATCTTTTGTTTTTCATAATGGTCCCTATTCTTGCAAAGAGGAGACAGCGGTTAACATCACTTTGTCAAAGAATGCTTTCTTCAGAGCATAGATAGCCTGGTACCGCCCTGGGCTGCAACGCTGAAGAACAGGGAGGAAGAGAAATGTTGGCTTTGGTAACCTATGCTGGATGCTGCTTTTGCAGTTTGTCTCTTTCACATTAACCCAGAAATTGTAAAGCACCTCATCTCATGGGCTACTCCACGACTCTTTCTTGGGGCAATGCTGACCTCACGCAAAAAAGAAACCCAGTTTGTTCCTATAAACATTTGGCAAGCAGTTGAGCTGTTGACTGATTGATCAATTTTAGAAGCATCTCAAACCTCCTTTCAGTTTTGCAAGTTTGCACACATTTCGTTGTAGTCAGATCTCAAACTTCCTAATAAATGGATGCAAGCACTTAGATATCTAACCATTAAAATACGAGTCCATAATTATTTGCAGAAGCAAAACGGCAGGCTGCTTTTGAAAATCAGCCCCACTAGGCTATTTTTTCCCCTCTCCTGAACTAATAGTCCTTTTGACGTTTTTTTGAACAGCACAATTGCAATCCCAAAGCCTCTAATGCTCTGACATTATTCCCCTTTCATACACCTGCTGACTGGAGACCTTTGCAGTTTTTCAATAAATGCGATGCCTGTAGTTATGTTTTTCATTTTAGATCCCGAAGAGATTAAGTTCTACCTGCATTTTATCATTCTTTGCTATAATTATTCCAAGCATTTACTTCAGTGAGTTATTTACAGATGGAGAAGTAGGGGGAGATGGAAGATGTTAGAACTACCAAATAGCACCAGATGGAAAAGAGGACCTTGACCTGAAAAATACCTTGTTTCTCTGATGTGCTGTATTTTTAGAATTCTGATTCCCTTTTAACCTAATGCGGATTAATGAAAACCCAAAGACTTTTTAGGGTAGAGTCTCATCATTTATCTTCAGTGAGAAGCTATGTCTGTGTAAAAACACGAAGCGTATAGGATTTTTTAAAAAAAGGTAATAAAGCTTCTGCTTTGAAACTGCTGTAAAGCTGAAGGGCCTTCACTTTTCTCTCACAGGTTTATTGAAACAGAATCTGAAAGACACAGGCATCCACAGCTGCAACTTCTCACATACAAGTTCAATGTAGAACTACAAAGTGACTTATTGCTATTATGTAGAACGCCTGTGCAGATATAGAGCTTTCTTTGCCTAACATCCTGGGTTATTTTTCATAGTATCTCCATGATGATGAATGCACAATAAATATTCTTACTTACAAATATTTTACCATCAGGTAACACTACTTTCAGTGGAGGTTCATCTAATTTACCTAAGTATAGCTAGAAACAGAATCAGAAACAGAAGCATTTTTGTTCACCAGCAAATGGCTTTACATTAGGTATGTATTCCACTGCAAAGAAAACAGTCATTTCCAGCACCATCCAGATATACGAAGGATGACAAGGTACTGTTTTTCAGCAGAACGTGTAGCGCGCCGGAGTGATAACTAGGTTGGGAGAGGGAGACAAACACGAAATGAAGCTTAATTTTGGAAGGAAAAGTAAAGAGTGAGCTTATCTCTAAGACACTACCTGTCTCTAACAGCAAAGTTGGGCTACCACAGCAGGCAAATGACCACTCTGACAGAAGAGTGTGGAAAGGGAATTTTACAAAACAATTGAACTTCTAATTGCAGCTTTTATGAGACAATCGTCACCTGTTTTTTGCTTTATGCTTCTCACTTGGGAAATAAAAAAATGAAAGCCATAAATAAAGGTGGTTATTTGTTTTCTTTCACTACAACACTCTGAGCACCAAAACAGCTTACTATGAAACAGCGTATGCAATCTAGGTTTATTTCTTTGTTAGTGGGAGGAAGTTATGTTTGTTTAAAATGATTGTTAAGGGAGATCTGAAAGTTCACATCTACAATTTCATTTGACATCTGAATTTTTCAGAATAAGAGTGCCCCTGATGTCTCTTGAGCATTGAACGCATGAGGCCTGCTCTCTTTAGCAATTAATAACTCTATCATAATATCACTATTGCCCTAGCTGGTTCCTTAGTCCTTTCACTGTGCTCTAAAATACTGCTAAATACAAGCTGGCTGTTTTAAAGCTTTCCTTTAAAACAATCCTGACATCTCCAGCGTCTGGGCTGCCTCTAAAATCAACAGGTAGGCAAGAGCTGGGATCTTCCTCAAGTCTTCTTAGAAAGATTGAGTTACTAATGGTTTCTTTCTTGGTTCAGGTTCAACAAAACTACTGAACCTAACTCACTTCCTCCCAAAGGATGGGTTTCTCCCCTCATCTGAACAGTGTCTCTTGTTACTTTAAATCATGGCTAATGTTTTTAAAAATATATCTTACACATAAGTCAGCTGTAGATCTTCAGCATCAAAGGAACCAAACAGAATCATGTGAAGCAGTGTAACCTTAAGCTATAATTTTAAAACGCCATCAAGAAATGTCTCAAATAATTTTTAAAATTTACTGTTGACCTAGTAACCCCAGTCCAAAGCATTCAACTTCAAATAAATGTTTTTGTTTTCCTTCAAAAAGCAGTATTGACAAAACAAACGCATACATTGCAAAATATCTTGCAATCAATCTAGCTATGACTTATCTGTGCAATTCACTAAAATAACTGAAGCTTTCATACAGGATGAGCAATTCAGGATAGCAGTAGAGCTGGCAGGACTTACGATGGAAGTGATTTGACAAAATTGGAATCCTAATGCAGCGTGTTCACAGAGAAAGTGAAAAAAAAAACAGCAAATGCAACCTTGTAATAGTCACCATCCGGCACTGAACTGAACTGCAGTCACAGATGAAGTACATATTTGAAAAATTTGTCATGGGATGTTTAAAGTAACGAACATCCACAATTTGTTTTTAAACCTGTTGAAATATTTTCCTGTAGTATTGTTATGCATGTCTGGGAAATAAAATTTGTAAAGAACAGCCAGAACTCAGTTGCATGCTAAAACTGAAACTACAGAGATGGAATTCTGACAGAATTACTTCCAACTGAAAAAACCAACAGTCTGCACTGTCTTCCTTTTGCAGTTATATTCCTTCTACTGAGCCTCCTTCTACAGTGCCTTCAGCACTGAGAGCTCTAGCAGACAAGCACCCTCCTCGTTACAGCTAGACAAACAGGCTCT